GGGGGTTATGTGGTGATTAAATGGGTTGAGATATTTATTTTAAAACACACTAAATTGATTTAGTGCCGCAACGCTAAACTCTCCAACGTCGTAGCGCTCATTCAAAAATCTATTTTTCCCCCAAAAACTAAGAGCTCATAGCTGAGTCGCCACTCTTCAGCGCCATTACTCCACCAAGCTCAGTGCCGCAGTTCTCCAGCTCATATTTTCTAAATTTTTAGTTTAAAATTTATTTTCACAATGTCCGGTTATTACAATCTACCCACTTTGGAAAATATCTCCCCTAACATTTTCACAACGACATGAAAGAGTCAATACTAAAACAAATTAAAGTCAATATAAAATAAAACCAAACCAATTCAAAGCAAAGTCATTTTGTTAATGAATCAAGCTGATTAAAAATAAATCAGTATGATATTAATTTAATTTTACAATTAATGAAAATTCAAACAACTACCACTCACTAACTTATTGTTCATTGCATCCAAACAATCATGAGCTCACTCAATATTTCACAATCATGCATGTCATTTTATCATATATCATCCAACATTTTATGCAATGCTAATCACTAAAAATTAAATGCACAAGATTGGCAATTCTACCAGTGGATCCTCTAGGTGCACTCCTATCATCCTATTGAATCAAATTATAAACTCTAGGTTGTACCGGTGCTAGTGCTGACATAACAAAATGCATGGTTCTCTATGCCTTTCACCCGCTCCTGATTCTTTTGTCCTATTCATGGGTCCTTCATTATATCCTCTAGATCCAGTCATCCTCTATCTATATCCCTACATGGAGTTCTCCCTAAATCTTGATCCTATTCCCTAGCACTATTGTTGATATTCATCCATACAATGTCATAATTGTTCATATATGAAACATTGTCAAGTCATCAGAAAATATTGTCCAGTATGTTTCTTGCCACATTGGGCAAACTCAAGTACACTTCCTAAAACTATCTCAGATCCTCATATTATGTCAAACTATTTACCTTTCCTTTCACCATTATCTCCTATGATAATATCATCTCATTGATCTCTTCATGCTCATATTCTATCAAAATGCTAGAATTGCCAAATCATTCTTTACTAATCTAACTCTCTCAAGTAATTCAATTTTTTTTTGTATCCTCAACAGTATTAGTGAATGTCTCAACTCATCCTTAAGTCCTCTAAGAATCCTGTATTATTTTTCTTCTATTGTGCTAATTAATTGTGGAGGTACCTGACCAATATAGTAAATTCTACTTCATACTGCATCACGATCATGTTGTCCAACTCTAACCTCATAAATGCCTCCTACAATTGTTGTTGTACTAAACTAATTCATAAACATAACAACAAATTCTATCCAAGTAATCTTTGTATTCATCTTCCCCTAGAATTTTTCCCATAATTGTTCTATCCACCATCTCTCTGGTTCTCATTCAAACAAAAATATTGCTAATGGTATATTTCCATTCTTTGGACACTACATGTTATAAAATATTTTTTCTATCCTTATCAACTAGTTCCATGTTGTCTGTTGCTTTACAACTCCTTTGAATAATGGGGGCTTTAACTTATGAAACATATGGAGATGCTTGTCTTCATCACTGTCCTTAATCCCTATTTGCTTTGAGTTTCACTTATAATTTGAGCAATCATACTGGAAGCTATAATATACTATTAGAAGACATTAGGGCTATAGTTACACTTTTTTCATTCTACACATCTTATTTAATTAAATCCATTTACCATTGAAATAATTTTCTTTTCTAATCAATCAAGCATATAGACTTAACATACATACATACATACAAATGCATGTTAATTAACCAATTATGCAAATATGAAAATCTATGCTACTCAACTTCTACCCCACTCATAAACAATTTTATGACTCTGATTACAATTTAATTCTTCCAATAACCATCATTCTAATATCAACCTTAATGCCTCATAATCTAAATTAGAAGAGTTGTATATTCTCTCTCTTCTAAATTAATTTACCATATCCACTAATTTTATTTTATAACAAGTTTGGAAAGATTAAAATTGTAGAACGTAAAATTATTGAAAACAAATGTATGATTCGGGTTACATATCACAATCAAAAGAAACTTAAGAACATAATTGACAGATAAAAATGCTTAGAGAAACTTTCTCTCTCTTCTTTCTCTCCTCCTCACTCTCTTTCCCTCCTCATATTTCCCGAGCAAGCACCTAGAATAAAGGGGGACAGCTAGGGTAATGAGGATAATAAATGAATTAAGATATTTTATTATTTTAAAAACTAATAAATTGATCTAGCACTACGACGCTCAACTTCCCAACGTGAAACCTGGCACTGCAGTGGGACCGCTCGACACTTCACTGCTTATTCAAAAACTTGAGAGCCTAATGCTGGGGTGCCAGTCTCAAGCACTGTAGTGCTCCAACTTAGATTTTCAAAATGTTTAGTTTTAAATTATTTTCACAATTTCAAATTATTACAAAGCCCAATTAAAAAGATTCCACCAATGTTTCCTATCGACTATAAATAACACCCTTTCTTCGAGGAAGGTTGATTCAATATAGTGTACACATAAAACATATTACAAGGTTGAAATTAAAAGAGTCATGTGGCATAGGACCTATCTTTAAGAGATCATTTTCTTGTTTATTTGATCATACTTCTTTAAAAAGAGGAGACCATAAATAAATATATCTATCATAAATCATGATATTGGTGTATGGAGTTAGAGTTAATGTCGATGACATGCATAGATCTTATAAAAGATGGCATATGTTTACATCATTAGTGATAATGGATGGTGAAGTAAGCAAACATTGGAGTAGCCCGATAATAATAATAGAAGATTGTATAACGACCATATTCCATATAATTGTTTTAATGTATAAAGTATAGGAAGAATCAAAAGGACCTTAATAAAAAAAGAGGACCTTAATTATATTTTATTTATATTAAAAAATTCATAATTGAGTATCAAAA